CACCTCCTGTCACCTGCCGTCGATGTCCCCATCTCCCACTCTATATCATTTTCTGAAATCAACGCCTAGCTGATGCTGTGTCCCGCGTTATTAGTATGGTGACCTTCCCATTCTAACTCCCCTTATCAAATCCTATCAGCTGCTAGCAGTTCTTGTCACCCACCAATAATGTTCCTGTCCCACACCCTATATCATACCTTGGAACCAATGTCCCACTGTTGCTGTGACCCGCGCTATGGACTCGGTGCCCCTCCCCTTCTGACGCCTTTTTCAGATCTTATCAGCTGATATCACTCCCTGCCACCCACCAATAATGTTCCTGTCCCACACCCTATATCATACCTTGGAACCAATGTCCCACTGTTACTGTGTCCCGCACTATGGACTCGGTCACCCTCCCCTTCTAAGGCCCCTTATCGAATCTTATCAGGTGTTATCACCTTCTGTCACCCACCAAAAGTGTTCCCTCTTGGAACTGTCATCCTATCTTTTCTGCGACGCTCGCTATGAATTTCGTGACAGACAGACAGACGCACACACACACACACTTACAGACATACTTAGCGGATTATATATAGTAGGATAGCGAATGATGCGAGCTTTGCTTTTAAACCTACATGTACTTCCGGACCTCTACAAAATACAACTATTCAATTCTACAAAAGTTATAAGGAAGGTTTCAAAGCGCATAGTCTGATACACGGCAATTATCCTGCAAACGAAAGAGCGTGTGAGGGGGCGAGGAATGAGATGCAGTCAGTAAGGCCTTTCCCACCAAATGATGCTATTCTGGCCGGCGAGAATGTGGAAAAGAATTTCTCGGCTGTGTCAGTTAACGTCTCGTCATGCACCCATTCGTTTGCAGTTACAATGAGTGTAGTCACTTTCAACTCTCTTTACCCGTCCAAACAGATGCTCCACCCAAGAAAAGATTGCCTACCGTCAGAAACTCCTTTATTGATGATCCCATTCTCGGCGAATATTTCGAATAGCTCATTGAAGCCGCCAATCATATCTGGCATTGTTACTCTGACTTGAATTAAGCGGTTATCGATAGCTAACCCTGCAATTACTCAGTAGAAGCACAAATCGGTTTTTGGCAACATTGGATAACTCTTTGAGATAAGGTCGGCACTGTTGCGAATTGGATTTTGGTCCTACAAGTGGAGGATGGTAGGTCGAAGTGGCCATTTGAAGTGAAATGTATACCGGCTGAAAGGTCTTCGGACGGGACCGTCTTCCATATCTGCTGCGGACCTCCCAGAACAAAGTTACGGGTCCTTTTTAGGGGAGCATAGTGGCAATGAATACGAATTAGTGGCGTGAGGCTTCATTGCTCGAGGCAGCGTAGCCGAGTGGGTACGTTGTAGGTCCCTTGGTCATATTGTCGAGCGTTTGAATCCTTGACGCGTTTTCTGTTTTGCATTTTTTCTACAATGGTCTCTGTGCATTAAAAAAAACATTTTTGCACAATTCTTGTGCTCGAGAATGCCACCGATAGGAATAGTGCGCCATTCTTGCTGCTTGATTTCCTGATGCTTCGAAGAGCCTATTTTGTACAAAAGGAATGCTCTCCAACGGATGCGCTTGCCTTGAGGAATGGCTTCATTCTCCGAATGAATGGCTGTACACGAAACCACACGAAGTTGTGCGTAAAGATGAGTATCATTGGAAAGGCTTTCCCACGACGTGGCTTTGAGGTGACAATCTTGCGGAGATCATAGTGGGAGAAACCTTCATTCATCATTCAGATAGTGTTGAAAGATGTTCTCTCCCAAAGTGGTGCTTTCGCACCTGCTGGAAGTCGTCGGCTCTTGTGACAAGTTCAACAGCCAAGAATGTTCTCCATGGAATCGTCCACAATGGCTCCATTAGTTCAGAAACATTCTTTGGTGCTCGAGCAGCAAAGGTTATGCAGAAATGCTTTCTAATGCATGGAGACCTTCTAGGAAAAATGCAAAACAGAAAACGCATCAAGGATCAAATCGTCGGACAATGTGGCCGTGAGACCTGCAACGTATCCACTCGACCACGCTGCTTCGAGCGATGAAGCCTCACGCCGCTAATTCGTAATGAATGCCACTATGCTCCCCCTAAAAAGGTCCCGTCACTTTGTTCTGGGAGGTCCGCAGCAGATATGGAAGACGGTTTCGTAATCCCCGTCCAAAGACCTTTCAGTCGGTATACATCTCAATTTCAAATGGCTACTTCGACCTGCCATCCTTCCTTGTTAGCAAACAAGTTCTTGTCTTAGCCCGAACAAAGCGTGCTCCCAGGGTACAGCGTCGTGATGTGTGAAGTGGTGGTGTCAGTGCGAGCCTCCTCGAAGGAGGCTCTCAGTACCTCCCCCCCCCTCTCCCACCAAAGTGGAGTGTAGGTGCTACCCTCCTCCAGCAGATAACTACCTTTTTCCTACAATTTCCCAGCTTCCTAACAGTTATTCCGAAATCTGCCACATTTTCCAGTCTTTCACCCAAAACTTTTCCGTCGAGCGGGGAGGAGACGGGAGGGAGCACGGGGGAGGGGACTATAAAGTAAATGTGAAGCGGGGAAAACCCACACGACCACCCCCTCCCCCCTCCCACTCCGCCAGCGCCGGTACGACCCTCCCATGTGTTTCACACAGCGATGCTGTACCCTGATTGCCCTTCTACACGTTTCTCAACGCCCATTGTTGCTGACACTAGCCGGTAAAGAATTTTCATGAAAAAGGTGATTAAGGTTTTTCAGTGTCATGGATTAATTAACGGGGTGCTTGGTTTCCTGCCGTCCACACAGTGGCGCGTAATGTGGGTGTGTGGGTGTAGGCATTCCAAGGAGAGTGGAGTGGCCCCCTCACCCCTTCCTATTGAAGGCACACTACGCGATTGCCAGCGGAACGCTCGTTGGTAGCGGGGTCAGAAACAGAATCGTATGTGTGCTATGTAGCTGAGTTGACATCGAAAAAAGGAGAGGAGGTCGTCGAGAACGCTACAAATAAGGCCCTACGTGTGCCATGCGAAAGACAAAGAATTGGTGTGGATATCGGCCTAGAAGACAAACAGACAAGGGAGCGAGAGAGCATGTAAAGGAGCAAGGCAGTGGATAAGACGGAGTGGACACAGTCCTCATCATTGCGGACCGGTGGGGGGTGTCAGTGCGGCTGCGTTTGGCGCGGTGCCAAAGTCGTTCTGCACCAGTTGTTGAAGCGGGCAAGTGACATTACTGTATATATCCTTCGTATTACTCGTTTTCTACCACTTTTTTGTCGCATACGCGTTTCAACAAAAAGGCTGAGAACGGCTTCAACAGTGTGCACACTCATACTGGCTGACACGCCCCACCGGTCCGCAATGATGAGGACTGTATCTATCAAAGAGGGCGGACTCGAGCAGCCTTGTGCGTCACCGCCGCTACGTTCTCACATTTTGACGTGAAACTTATATAGCGTTGTTTTGTTGCAGTCTATGCTACCTCGTCCAACAAAGGGATCATAAGTGATCGTGGGCTGTGCTTATGAGGAGGTCTTGAAACATATGGGAATTCGATGAGGTTTTGAATTTTAACTTTTTTTTCAAATGGGTTGCGCACAAGCGGGGCCGTGCTAAATGACCTCGCCATTCCGTGTCTCCAAGTGATAGTAACATAGGGATCTCGCAGGAGAAAGGTAGTGCAGCAACTACGCCCCATCAGTCGTCTATGCTGTTGGTGCCCTCCTCCAAGGAGTGCTCGGGGAGGCTAAAGGCACTCATCCCAAAAGAAAAGCGAGCCTCTCAATCCTCTGGTGAAAAACTAACGCTGACCGCTAGATAGAGCCCCCTAAAATGGTCGAGTTATTTCCTAAACTATGCCACCAAACAAGTTAGAACTTAGAGGCTTCACGATTAGATGTAGAGCTCACCTTTCTCAATAGTCCGTCCAACTAGACAGCTGTCGATGTTCCCTCCCGACAGTATGCAAACGACTCGTTTTCCTGACAGTCCTTCAATATTGCCAGCCAGCAAAGCTGACGGACCAATTGCGCCAGCTCCATCGAGAACAATCTGGAACGAAGGCATATTGAATGAGTACAACGATTCTGGTTCAAACTTTTCTGTAAGACTGATTCACCTTTTCCTGCTCAAACATTTTCAAAATTCCTATTGCTAGACTCCCTTCTCTTATTGCGACCACTCCATCAACGATATCTGCAAAGGTCGGTGTAGGTTGATTCACGCCAAAAATGGTCGCTTGGTATGATCAAGCGGTAGCATATGCTCATTCTCACACAATCGGGTCGGGAAGAAGGTTTTGCAATTCATCAGTGTACTGGTGTATAACAAAAAAATCGTGCCTGTTTGCTCGATCCCTTGGAGGCGATGCAGAACACGTTCTCCCGTAGCTGGACAGCCACTCCTGGCAACACCCACTTGGCAGCTCTCAAGCTTTTCGGCCACCCCAGTTATTCTCGTTGGAGTTTCTCATGAGCTGCATGCCAGCGTACAGTAGCGTTCGAGCGACTAGGAAGGTGTGGATATCGATCTAGCGTTCCGAGCGTCCACCAGCGTATGTCAGCGTACCCCAGCGTCCACCGAGAGTGGAGAGTATGGGGAAGTAGGAGGGTAGCATACTACTGGATTAGTCGTCGTGAAATCGCGGCACGTACAAGCACACTATTCATTGGCTAAAGCACAGAATTATGCAATTTAGATGTACATTGTAGTGCAGTTGTACAGTGCGGCTGCACAAGCCGCAAATTTGCGACGCCTAACCAGCAGTCTGCTACCACCTACTTCCCACACTCTACGCTCCTAGTGGACGCTGGCGTACGTTAAATCGATATCCATACTTTTCTAGCCGCTGCTGTACACTGGAAACGGTCAAAGGGCTCCCGTACGCTGGCGTACGGTGGCGCGGAGAATGAACGCAGCCTTTTACTGGATTGCCGATGGCACTGCAAAGGCATGTTGTTGAATGCTGGCACAGCTAGCTCTGATAGTCTTTGGAATTGACTTATGCCATGCGTGAACTTCTATCGCAACGACTCAATATCTTCATACCCCGCAGGAGAGGTGGAGGGGGTAGTCGCGAGATTCGAAGTGGTCTATGAAGAGTCGGAATGCACGAAGTAGCTCATTCAGTCGGGAGCTCCCTCCTCCTTCAAATCGTAGGCTGTCATAATCATTATCCTTGCAAACGATAGGGAGTGTGACAGGGGCATGGCTTGGTGGAAAAGGAGCGCCGTGGCTGCACTGCAATGCGCGCCGTATCACACACATTGTCGTCAGCAAAGATCATGGCTGTACATCTTTGAAGCCCAGCTGCAGACTGACTCCTTCCAAGACCCATGGCGAAGAACCACTTTTGTACCAGCTATTTATTTGCATGTGGTCGATTACTAAAACAGAATACGTCTGCATACTAAACTCCCCAGTATCAGCTTTGCAAAAAATACCTAGAACGATCCGGAGAGAATCTCCTACCTTTAAGCGTGTGAAATGCATTGCATCCAACCATCTTCACACACAAACGGTCAGCAAGCGATGGCAGGGGTTTAGCTACAATCGGCCGACCTTCTTTTAATGCCATCTGTAATAAAATGAGTGAAAGAGTGAATGGACAACAACGGACGAAATCTGAAAGTAAACACAACTACTTCGTCAAATAAACAGTTTGCGATAAGTATCGCGTTGGTGAAAGGGGTGTCCACAGCTCCCAGTGTGAGCGTAGCCGCGGCTGCGAACCTGGTATACTGTTGCAGGTTTATTCGGAGAATGCACGTCTGTATGAGCGCTTCGCTGAGCGCCTGCGCTGTCTACACACAGTCTCCAAGAAGTACGTCCCTCTCTCAACCGGTAACTGCTCACCGCCCAGGTGCTTACAACCAAGCTCGCTGACAGTCGCCTTTCAAAGCCGAGATATGGTTTGTAGGCGTTACACCTTTCTGAAGCCGAGATGTGGGACTGTAGGCCTTGCATGTGATCGCCTCTCGTTTCCCCTTACTCCGGCCACCGGAAGTCTCGCCATTTCTTTCGTGTAAAAAAGACACATTCTTTTTCTCCTCTTCCTACGCCAAAAAGTATCTTTTCCGCTAGGCCTCCTCTTCTTATGGAGGAATCGCAACTCACTCTCAGTAACTTATACTTACCATTAGCGATGGGCACGTTTCCGGCTCTAAACCGATCACTTTGGTTTTCGGCGAGACATGTTTTACAGCTACAGTTATGCCGGCTAGAAGCCCTGCACTACCAACTGGTACAAAAATGGCGTCTACATCATTCACCTGAAATTCTTTCGACAAATGGTATTTTAGAATACTAAGGCTCTGCACTTGAATTCATAAGGCACGATAATTTGGTACACGGTCTGAATGGTAGCAGGGGTGCTATAGATGGGAAAAGTTGTAAAGCAAAGTGAAAAGGTCAAAAAGCTGCAAAAAGCCTTTGTTCTACAAGAAAGCAATTTCGGCGAGTTGCCCGCTGGCATCGTGCCGAGAACGCTACAGTATATAGGTTGCATATATGTACTCATATATCCCTCCAGCACCTCCGCCTCTCTTTACCAGTCCCTTCGCTTGTTAATGTACTTCGCGAATGGAGCGATAAGAGCGTCAGCGTTGGTCGGAATCATTTCCGTGGGCGACGATACGTAAAGGTCGGTTATGTTGCAGCCTGACAGTGTGCTATAAGGGTAGCTTCCGAAAAGGCGCCACGCTGATTGTGGACGCCGAATCCTGCTCTGGTAAACGTTTTCGGGATTCATTGTGCCACTTGCCTTACAAGTTAAGACATGCTCCGTTAAAGCTCACAAAATGTATGCCAGACCGACTGTGTACGGTACATTACTTTCTTAATGTACGAGGAAGAAGGTCGCTGGTTCGAAAAAATAGTTCTGCAAGTAAACCGCTTGACAAAAGCCATCAAAAAACTATTACGGTGCTCTGAAATGAAGTGTTGAATATGGGTTCCCTGTGGAAACTGAGGGGACGAATGACCCAACCACGCTGTGCAAAATCGTTTAGGGTTCAGCAGCGTCTGCAGTCAGTGGGCGTTTTTCCATTTGGGCTTAACCAACAAGAAGTGTGCGAACTATGGTTTACCTCCGGAGTGCCATCGATTCTTGACTGAACGTGCAGTTTCTGCGTGAGCGCTTACCTCGTGAATCCTGCCTAGGATTTCCACGCTATGTCAAGGAATATCGGCTGATTGTCGTCTACTTGACTGTTTCCTAGCTTGCGGTTTTGTTTTTCTTCATTTTTTTTATTTTAATTTTTCTACTGTTTTGGAGAAATATTCTCTATTGTACTTCGTCAAATAACAGTGCACTGCGATCGTACGATTTGCGGTTGTTGGATTGGATTAATAATCAAATTGGCCATCGTAAGTCCTACAGATAGGGAAACCGCGCTTCGCCGGGCTTCGCCGGTCTGTCTAGAAAATTGGCATCACCTGAAGATTCAGTTTGAGGGAGCAGGTCACGGGTGTATTGAGTAGGTCGTGGATTAAGATGCGCACAAGACAGATGAACTGAGCTAAGCCTCGCCCACAGTGGGCGGGGCTTTTCATCCAAGTCAGCTGATTCGTAAAAAGTCAGATCTGTGGTTGTCAATACTTCACATCTTCAAGTATCTCCAGAGCTATGGTGCCAGCACCTGCCATCACATCAGGAATGATCATGTCCATTGATGAAACTTTCCCCCACTTTCCTGGGCAAGTTTGAAGGCAATTTTCATCGACTCATCATGTGATGCGCCCTAAAAACACCATTTCTTCAGTGACAAAATGCCGAATTCGATTTTCCTTTTCAAAGAGCAGAACAGGTTCGAGCGGCTCCATCTGTAGAAATGCATAAAACGCACTAAGATTCAGAGTTGAAAAACCGAGAATTCTTATGCGGGTGTGCCGTTTCCTTCATCACGCGTGCTATTTCTCGTTACAACGTCGCCGAGTATGGCGGAACTACCACATAGGAAGCCATAAACAGCTGCGCAACTTTTTGTCGCTCAGGACTATTGAGCGTAATAGAGTTCCTAGTTCACAGGTCTGAACAGCGCACACTCTAAACTCTATAAACAGTCTCTAATTTGAATTTATCTTAAAATTATCGAAAATTAGGAAATTAGGAAAAATTAGGAATTTATCTTTTGCTGTTCAAAGAACGTGCACAATGGAGACTAGTCTGTCTTCCTAGCAACCCCCTTCAAAGTTTACTGGATATCAGTTCTCCTAGTGACTATTGTTGACAAACCGCTGACACCACTGACAAGGCATAATAATCCACAGAGAATCCTGTTCACGCGCTGATAGAGAGCGCCCGAGTTTAAGAGAATTCCAGGTCTTACGCATGTCCCACTCGTGTCTATCGTAGAAGCACTCAGTCGTACCCTCCTACATCGTGAGCTTTCTTTTGTTTTCAGTAGTGGTTAGAGCTTCGGCAACCATTCCTTCTGGAGGCCATTCCACACGGAAACCCACCGTCTTTTAGGGCACCAAGAACCAGGGCGCAGCAAGCGAAGGGTAGAATAGCGACCAATCCAGGCTACCCTGATGGTTTTGCCCCGTCAATGGTTGCTGCACCAGTTGTAACGAACGCCCTGCGAGCACACACGTGCTCTTTTATCTCCATTCGCCGCAGAAGTTACACGAGTAGAGTCGAAGTGAACATTTCGTTGCCGACCTCTGTGATCTGGCCAGATGCCCCAGATTAGAAGTTATGCGTACGATGACGTGCCAATAAACACAAGCGTAGCCCCGTGCAGCGTGATTAGTTACAAGTAGGCAAGTGATTCCAGAAGAACAGAAGGGAAAACCAGGGATCGAAAATAAGAAAGAAAAAAATCAATGAAGGAAAGCAGAATAAAAATACACAAAAGGAAACCACGAAGATGAACCGCCATGCGTGACTAGAAATATTTAGGCCTAGGAAATCGAAAGTAGGAGGATGCCTGAAAGGTTGAGGAGACTCAGACAGGAGGGCTCCGCCTTGCAATATGGTAAATCTTATGCGTTTGAAGATTGGCATGTGAAGCTTAGAAAGAAGGAACAACACAACATGCGGTTATCCTGGGGCCGTTTCTGAGGTGAAAGCACGACTTTGGATTACGCCATTTTCCAAAAGCGAGGTAGGAAGGCTATTCTAGTGATAATTTCAACTTGTCGAGTTCGTGAGCTGGTCTAATTACTAGTCAGCAGCGGCGATCGCCAGTATAGGACCAGCGCTCGCCCAAGATGACGCGATTGAAAAAACTTGTTGGAAAGGTATATTCAGTGTCGTTTGGTTCTTCTTTCGTCCCCGCCCGCCTAGTATCTCAGTGAAAGGGTTATTTAATTAATAAGTGGCGATGCGTTGAATAATAGCTTCTGATCGAGACATCAGCCCCTGTTTTATCAGCCGCAGGGAGTCAGGGGCGATGCTTGGTGGCATACGAAGGGGGCGTGCGGCGCACACAGTGGGACGTAGTGACCCCAGGCGGACCTAATGACACACTTTGCCTGGGTACTTGGGAGGAGCGACGTGGGAGAGCCGGGGAAAGCCTGTTGAGAAAAGTAAATTTGGAGAAGTGGCGGGTCGGATCGGAGGTCGGGGTTTCAGTAGCAGGGAAAAGAGGGCATAAGTCGGCGTGAGGGCTAATGACAAAACACTGAGTAATAGGCCCCAGGCGAAGCCTAATTGACACACCGGCACTGGAGTCGGCGGGGCCGGGAACTTCCATAAAATCGGGCAGCGTGAAAGGCGTTATGAAAAGATGATAGTAGTGGGGCGCTGGATTCAGGGAAGTGAGGGGGCGATGCGGGGCATGGAGTCGGGGGAGGTAGGCGGAAGTGTGAGGGGAGCGCTGACGTTGAAGAGGATTAAGCGGAAGAAAGAAAAAAACCTCATGAAAATACCTTTCCAACAAGTTTTTCAATCCGTCCATCTTGGGGCGAGCTGGTCCTCCTACTGGCGATCGCCGCTGCTGCTGTCGCGAACTATGAACGCTGCCCCGAACTCCGAACACAACATCCGCTCCATTTAGTCGGTTCACCAGGCCAGCATATCGTTTTCAGTGTACCGTAAGCCGTTGGAAGAAACAAACGGTTTACCGGAATACCGAGGTCCTTGACCGTGCGGAACGCAGATGGCACGTGTCCAAAATTCCCGCAGAGCCGAGCAAAAAAGCCTACCAAACATGTGAAAAGATAAGTCGCTTGACCAGAGTAAACCTTGAACTTCAGTAAGCCAACGAATCTTGCGACGTACCTCCGCTTCTCTACTTCTTTCTCTGACAAACGTGACAAAACGTTGCGTGCACTACGTCCTTTAAAGCTGCCAGTGTCCTGAAACGTGAAGTGTCAGATCAGCTCGTCCAAGTTGAACACCTCTGGAGCTGAGAACTTATCATACCCTAAAGGGCAACTGTTGGATTACTAGCTACCCTATTTCTTCCCCATACTCCCTACTCCCGGTCGCTGGTGCACACTTATAGGACGCTGCAGAACCTTAGCAGCCGCCTAGATTTGATACCGTATACTTCCGTAGACTCGAGACCCTGTGTGGCGCTGGCAGATGCTAGAATTCGATATCTATAACTTCCTAAGGGCGCTCACGCTGTCAGAGACGCTCGGGAACTCTAGTGGCCGCTTGGTGGCTAAACTTCGTCCGCTTCTCCTCCCAGCACAAGCCCTTTCATCTCATCATCTCTAATGCATCTTCGCTTCGCTTTCCTTCGCGTTCCCTGTCGATTTTCGAACTTTCAATGTAGTACAGCCTCTGCGATTGCGGAACTCGTCAAGTTGCATAATTAAGAAATACAAGTTTTAGATCATCGTGGACCGTTCCTTTGATAGCTAGAAATAAGGAGCAGACACGTATGTAGAGAAACTGTTTACCTGAGTATTTTCCATTTTGAGAAACACGTCACATCCAGCAGCATTCGAAAGGAATCGCGAATGAACACACTCAGTGCGGCAAATACCATCCTGTATGTTTAGTATCAATATCTATCTATTCGCTTTTTTTGTTTTTCTGAACCCCGTTTTTCCAAAAACACTCAGAAAGCCATGTATCGTGGCGTTCAGAGATATTAACAACGATGAAGAACGGTAGCGGGAAAAAAACTTGGAACAATGCGAAGTAGCGTTTTCATCAGTTTTGCCTCAATTCTCCCAATTGCAAAAATTGGGCTATTACATGTGCCGCCGATGTAAAAGTCAGTGCTCAGTTTATAAGAATTCTGTCACCAACTAATCAGGGGTGGATAGCTCGGTGATTCAGGCAGAACCCGATCCGAGATTTAGCCCCAGACCAGGCATGTGATTAGTTTCACCGCTCGCCACTATAATACCTCCGTTCTACCAACGTAGCAATGTTATTGTGCTACTACATGACATTCTCAGATACTATTCACAGTAATGGAGGTTTGTAGGTGGTGGATACCGGCTGCTGGAGGAGGGCTGTTGTTGCCAGCGTCATTGGGGAAAGGGCATTTGGCCACATCTCACTTAGCGCTTTCACCAGTGACGCTGGCGACAACCGCCCGCTCCCACCAGTCGTGCTCACTGTTTTTCCAGGGGACTAGATAAGTTAACATTGTTGGAAATGACATTTCTTTGCTTGTTCCATATTTTTTTGGTACTGTATATAACATGAAGGCTACTTATGAATGAACTCACCTTGATATTTTCTCGAGCTTCAAGGATCTGCTCGTAATCAAGCGATTTCGGATTGAACGGATCGCAGCATGGATCAACTTCTTTCTAAACAGATACAACAGTATATCACCGTAGCCAGAAAATGGTTTTCTGAGGCCGATTCTTACCGGATCGGGAACATTTGACGCGAGGCGAAGCAGGGTAAGCCACACTAAAAGTACAAGTGCATATTCTGTATTTGTATTGTCGCTATTTTA